GTGCCAGTGATTTCTCTGGACTCCTCTATGCTTGGAGACAGCAAAGGCGAACAGAGGTGGAGTCAGAAGCAACGGACAAGGCGCGTCTTTCACTACTGCTGCTGTTCACCTAGGAATTAGCACTGCCTGCATTAAGAAGAGGCCTCCAGATGTATCTCAAACCTGGCTTCCTCACTGGGAATGGGTTCCTCCAGGGACACACTGACCAGGCTCTTTGGAGAAGAAAATGCCTCTCTAAGGATCTCATCTGAGGTTGGCCCTTTGTCCAGATTTTTTTCCCCCCAAAAGCATGGATGTGGCTTCATGTGGAGGACTCCTTGGCAACGAAGCATGGTACCCTGGGAAACAAAAATCAGAACTCTAGGGTCTGGGTGTGGCTGTCCTACAGACTTCCTGTGGGACCTCTCTCAGGACACTCTACAACTCTGGTCATCCCTCCTTGCCCATGAACTCAGAGGCTAGTCTGAAAATTCTATGGCTCAAGTGGCCACCTTAAATTCAGGTTCAATACTCATTCATCTTAGCTTGGCCTCTCTGCCCAGAGATTTGACCTAAAACCACCTCACAGATGAGAAATTGAGGGTCAGAGAAGTGAAGGAACCTTGTTGAAGGGCCTATTCAAGGTAAATGATAGAACCGAATTTGAACTTAGGTCTGTCTGACCTCATGTCCAAGACTCCAATATATCTGAGCCTCCTGGTTTTTCTAGATGAAAGGCAAAAAGCAGTCTGAGAAACTGTACTGGGAATGCTGCGTGCCTTTCTATCCACTCCCTCTGCACCTGGCTTTACAATCCAGGATGCAGCTCTCTATAGACAAGCTTCTAGCCTTTAAAATACAGACATCCTTGTAATTCTCCTTCAGTAGGACAAGTGTGGGCATTTCTAAGATATTCCCAGGAGGCGAACAGAGGGAACTACATCTCCTCTGCTTCTGGTTGGGCTCAGCCAATGGAAATAGAGGAAGACAATGGGTGGAGAGAAGACAGCAGCTCTCTTACTCCTTTCAGTCTCTTTGTTGGGGATGCCACTGAAGGTCACACCTGTGACAAAGGTTGTCTCTCTCTGGGTCCTGGTATCCCTTCCTTGCAGTACCCTGGGTGGTCTGGGGTCACGTTTCATCCCAGCATACTGCACTATCCTTTGCATTGTCTTTACCCCTAGAGTACAAACTTTGTAGAGAATCTCTCAGTTATCACTCGGCAAATTATCCTGTTTCAGGGTCCTAGCTTTTTCCTGCTGTGATCATACCTGATCCTAGAGAGGAGAATCATTTCATGCAATTTGCAGCCCTGACATCACTTTCTCTTCTAGCATCACCTCCTTTCTTTGCCCAAGAAACTTTAAGACTTTCATGTGGGGGAATACTTGGCATGCTGGAAGCCTCCCCTGGCCACAGCCTCTGCCCTGGAGCTACCTGAAAGCAAAGGACTCTTTGTTCTTATTTCCCCCATTCATTTCCTTTCCTTTCACTCCCTTTCCATTTCCACTCTCTGAAACCCTACTGTCTCTATTACTAAATTCTAAATAGAATCATTTGGAAGAAAGGGGTGATTTTGCCAAGGTTCCCTCTTACTGTTTCATTTGTAGGCAGTGCCCTCCCTTCTGCACTTACTTCCCCTTTAATCTTTTCTGTTCTCCCTGGCCTGGGCCTTTGTCCTCCATTCTGGCCTCTCAGAGCTCTGGGCTTCTTAAGATGCTAATCACACCCGGTTTTCTTTTTGCACCAAGAATATTTCTATTTATCAAGGCACTGCAGGCTTTGCCTTTGGGGAGGGACACATACAAGGGCAGGAACACCTTCCATTCCTCAGGGCTGTTTCTCTTTTACCTTTCTCATTTCAGTTCCAGGATTTCTTTCTTTCATTTGGTTCCCTTTATGTTTAGCACTGCTTTCTGAGGGGTACTGGTTACCTGACGCTGTTTCTTGGCTTCTAGTACCCAAGGCAGACCTACACAAACCCTAATTTGTTGCAGATTCACTGACCTTCACATCAGAAAAGAGAGCCAGGTTAATTTAAGCCTATCCAGCTAATATCCTTAAGGTACTTGAATTCTCTCTGCCTCCATTTGAATTTCCCCAGGAGTAGGTGTCATGCATCCAGCATCCCAGGGTGAATAGTTTCTGTAGGAGAGGGGCAAACCTCGTGGGAAGTTGGGAAGTGAGACAGGAAGAGAAGGTAGCTGAGAAAGGGTGAGTTTTCTGGCTCATTACTATGCAAGCAACTTCAGCCTAATTCCCATGGGAACTATACAAAGACTTGGGAGTACAAGTGAGGTATTTCATGGTGGAGGACTCGGGTATCTCCTGGTGGAGGACTTCTCTCAAAGGTGTTGATTCTCCAGTGTTTGCAGGCTATCTTGTGCTGGGTAGATCTTTCCTCCACTGTGGAGAGAGCACTCAGGCAAAGATACAGTCAGAGCAGATTTCACCCTCACAGTCCCATCAGTGCAGACCCAACAGTTAGGAATGAAGCTTCCTTCCTCAAGTGTACCCTAGGCACCTCATGCCGACCCCAGTCCTGCCCTGATGACCACCCAGCCAGCTGTGTGCTTTTGCATGGTGATGTGGTTTGGCTATGGGACATGGGGGTAGACTCAGTGATAGAATTCTGTTTGCTAGAATCCTGCCTCTCAGGAAGACCTTGCAGAGGGATGGTATCCACCTTCTCTCTCTCCTGCGGCCTATCCCTCACTCTTTTCTTGTTGACTGGAATTTACCCTTCAAAGTGTGGCTTTGATCTAACCTTCTTTCTTCCACTCTTGCTGAGTGTTCTCTGTCTTAGGCGTGAAACATAAGTCACGCTTCGCAGGGTCTTCTCCACAGTCAGCTTCTATTTATCAGATACCATGTTATACCAGGGTTGGGGAAATAGAAAAGCCAGCTGGCCACAGCTCTGATGTCACACAGCAGCTGTGGCAGGAGCTAGGCTGTCACAGTACACACCGACATGTGTCATGTCTCAAGTCACACTGATGCAAGGGACAAAGAATTGGCACATATTATGCTCTAGGAGTGAGTGCTGGGAGTCTGACCACGTCTGAAGGGTCAGAAGAGTTCTGTGAGAAAGTGGGGACAGAACTGAGAGCTGGAGTATAAGTGGGCCTTTGGAGGGCAAAGACAGGCAAGATGGGCATTTGGACAGCAGGGACAGAATGTGCAAAGGCCTTGTGGTGAGGAAGGGGCACGGGGCGCTCCAGGGACTGAGTGACAAGCAGTTCAGCTTCAGCGAGGAGGCTGCCATGAAGTGGGCTTGGTGTAATGGGCCTCAAGAAACGGCTGAGGGTCTTGCAGTCAGAAGGACACAGAAAGCATTTGAAGAGTTTTTTGTTTTAAAGATGTTGTCTGACTTCAGTCAGGAATTTGGGGGGACAAAAAATGGGGCCAAGGTGGTTGTGGAGCAACTGGGAAGGAGGCTTGGCAGAGTCCAGGTAAGAGTTGGTGGCTCAGGCAAAGATGAGCTGTGGAGACCCAAGGATATATGTAGTGGGGCTTCCAAATCTAGGCTGTCCCGCCACAGGCTGTGCCTTGGGGATGCTGCCCAGCCTGCACGGCCACATCTTGCAAGGAGCCAGACGCCCTTCACAGACTCCAGTGATTTTTTTTTTTTTTTTCATATCTGTGAAACCTCTTTAGGAGGAAGACACTGTGAAACCCATTTTACAGAGACAAATAAGAGAGTGATTCCCTATTGTCACACAGCCTGTCACTTAGTGTGTCCTATTTGAACTCAAGGTCCAGCAGGAAAGATGAATAAGTGACTTGATATTTAGGGCACAGGAGGCAGTGTGCTTGAGCAGGTGACACTGGGGACTGGTCAGATCAAGCAGCCACCTGTCCCGGATGCAGGTACAACATCTCCCTGAACCCAGCCTAGGAAATGTGTGGAGGAAGCCCACACATCATAAATCTTAATACATGTTTGCTGACTGTTTGAATATCTCTTTCCGACAATTCACTTGCAAGAAATCTTGCTGCCTGCGTTACAGTCTTCTAAGAGACAAATTATAAATGTTTTCTGATTAGTTTCACCATTCATAGCCTATTCCTAAATCAGCACAGGAAACAGCTAAGCTAAAACTTCTGCCTCTTTCTTCCTTTACAATCTGCTTGTATCTTATTCTTTCTCCTTCCAAGCTTTTTTTTTTTTCCCGCTAGGCATGTCTAGACATTAAAAACAAAACACAACTCTGAATGAGGCCAGCAATTGTCGTTCATGAGCACTTTCCCCCACTTTGGCTGAATTGTGTGTTGCGGAGATCTGGGGGCAAGGATTGATCTCGCAGTTGGTGACATGGCAGAAGGTCCAGACTAGCTGCACTGAATCAGACAAGGGTGTGGTGGAGCCCTCCTCTCATCACAGCACCCACCCAGCATTTTGTCTGAGATAACATTTTCCTGCCTGTATTTATGTTGCCCAGAAGGCTGTATAGGCCAGTGCTTGGCAATCAGTGGCAATACCCGTATGCTACTTTTGGGTGGGGTGTTCAGCTCTATGGTAGTTTTCTTTCTTTTTAAAAAAATATATTTGGTTGCTGCAGGGTCTCACTTTGCATTTCTGACTGGTGGTGATCATCTTGTTTTCGGCCTCCCCAGTGCTAGGATTACAGACATGCGCCGCTACCCTTGGACTCTGGCTGGTTCAGCCTACCCTGGGGGCCAGGCTGGTGTGGCATGTGGTGCCAGGGATCGACCATGGTCCCTGCACTTGCCTAAGCTTACCTAAGCAGGTGCTTTAGTCCACTGAGCTATCTCGTCAGCCCCTGGGCTGGTTTTCTTTCACCTCTCTTCCCAGAACTTAATAGCAGCTGTACACTAATCTTTTCTCACTGCTTTTGTTCAGGTTTGTTCACCTTCGCTGGGAGCACAGGAGTAGTCTTTTGACCCACAGCTGGAAACATCAAGGATGATTTGATAACAATCTTGACATAAACAATAACTTTTTTTTGCCCTTGTGTTCACCAAGCTTAATGCTTAGGCTCCCCCAGAAGGGTACCTACAGGATATGATGTTCCCATATCGATTCTTATTGCGATTTTCATCTTCCTTGGCTGTGTCCCATGAAGCAGTCTGCCCCTCTGGTAAGGCCTAGAAAGAAAGAAAGAAAGAAAGAAAGAAAGGGAAGAATAGAGTGGTTAGACTAACCAGAGGTGGAAGCTTCTTCCGCATGGAAACAAAGCAACAGGGAAGCAGAAGTCCATTGTGAGGGGACACTCACTGTAAAGGGCAGTATGTCCTTGGATGGGTCCTGGGGAGAACACAGTTTAGCCCCTGCCATGGACTTCTTTCCTTGCTCTTTGACTCAACTTTTGGTAACTTCTGTGGGTCATTAATTCACAGTCTTTCCAGTATTACAGTCATTCATTCATTCATTCATTCATTCATTCATTCATTCATTCATTTACTCATTCATCATTCATTCATTTGGAGATACTTTTTGCTCCACTAATATGTTCTGGTTACTGTTCCATGAACTAGGAGTGCAGAAAGATAGATCAATCCCCTTGAGCATTTCCTTGACCAAGAGACACAGCAAATAAGCAAGCAAACACAATGAAGAAAATAAGGCAGGATAAAGGGGGCAAGGATGCAGAATGGGGATCACTTCTGCTTACACAAGAAGTAACATGTAAGGAGGTAATGTTTAAGTTCATTCCTCAATGATGCAAAAAAAAAAACCTGAAAAAAGCAAGAAGTATTTTCCCAAAGTAGGCAGCCATGAAGATGTTCAGACTACAACCAAGTGGTCAGTTCACAATGGGAGTGAAGTGGTGGGACTAGTGGTGGAGAAGATGTGAGGTGCTATAGTTTCTGGTTAGCAAACTGGTATTATTCTAAGTGTGATGGGAAACCATGAAAAATTTTAAGCAACAAAGTCACCCAGTCTGTTGTGAAAAGTGCATTATGTCTCCTGTATGGAATAAGGCTAGAAAAAAACTAGGAAAGAGCAAAGAGATCAGAGAGGACCTCACTGCAATTTTTCAGGCACAAGATGGTCCCTTGGGCCCCTGAACCAAGGCAGTAGATAGGAGAAGAGTGATTATTTTTCAGATGTTCAATATTGTTGACTTAGGCTCCCTCAGAAGCAGACTCAGAGTTATAGGTTATAGAAAGGGCAGAATAGAGTGGTTAGACTAACCAAAGGTTAGTGGTTCATCAGGGAGGCAGTCCTAGTGAGCATGCGTAAGAGGATGGGAGAAATGAGACAACCCAGGGAACACAGGACACACCAATGTGTGTAACTGAGCTGTACACACCACTGTGTACAGCTGAGCTTAATCTAATAGGCACATCTAGTGGTCCAAGGTGTCTCACTAGAGATGGCTATGTAGCCACCCATTTCTGGTTAAGGACAACTCTTGGGATCCCTGTAGCACTTCTGCCATGCTCTGTAGGTAGAGCATGTATAGTCTTCTGTCGAGCTGTGAAAGGAAAAAAAAATGAAGGCTGGCTTTTAGATCATGATTTTGAAGAAATCTATAGACAGATGTAATTTAAGTGTAGATTTCTGGGGGAGAAACAAGGTTTGGGAGGAATAAAATGTTTTATTTTATCTTATTTAAGGAATAAAATGTCCTTAAATTGCTAAGCATTGAATACTGTGTACTTTTAACATATTCAAGTGAGTCACAACAATAACACTAATGATGACAGCCAAGTTTGATGTGTCTCTTAGACATTCAAGCTGTAATGCTAAGCAGTTATAAACAGAGGTCCAGAGCCAGGGGTGGAGGGTGGGAATAAGATTTTCATCAGCTAGTTTAAGAGGGTGGCAAGCACAGAGAACACAGACAAACACACATGTGGGATGATTTATCAGAGCTACGAGCTGAGTGGGTCTTGAACACAGAGGAGGTGCAGTCAGATACTTCATAGAGGGGAGGGGAGGCATTGGAGACAGTAGGAAAGCTTTCGCAAACCTGTAGAAGCATGAAGGTCAGACTATGTTTTTCTGCCTGTCTCCATTCTGCTTCTAGTGGACCAGGGTGGAGGACTCACTCATGGACCTTGCGTTATATCTGAAGCTGGATTGACAACGGTTTCAGTCTGCGTAACTCTCTGTCCCCGGTGCAGAGGGGAGGAACTTCATGGCTCACTTTATCCTTGTTTTTTCTGTCTTTCCTTATGAGGTCTACCCTAAATAAGGAGGAGTCTTAACCAGACTGGCTCAAGTCTGGCCACTCAGCAGGCCCTGCTTCATGGACAGGTAGTTTGGCATGTACGACAGTCCAGTGCTCACGCAATCTAGAAGCTGACCTTTGGGTGATGGATTTCCTACCTGAAATGCTGTGTGATAAGAGCAAACCATCTGTTCCAACATATCCTCTAAAAGTGGTCAGAATACCCCAAATGTTTTTATACTAATTTCTTGGCAAAATTAATAATGCTGAGTACCTGATATGTCCCAGGGTTTGGGCTGCATTTACCTTAAGGTCTCTTTAGGGCTACATATTAGAATTACCTGGGGAAGCTTTAAAACTCCCGAGCCAAGGCCTTATCATCTCAGGACCAATCGGTCAGCCTCTGTGTGGTGGATCACAGGCACAGACGGTGTCTAAAGCTTTCCAGGTGACTCTAATGTGCAGCCATGACTCTCGCACACAGCAGAATTACCCGGAAAAATACTTTCCAATGAATCTCCTCTTTGGGTTCTTTTGCTTTGGATTTGTCCCTTCTGATCCATTCTCCACTGTAATCAGACAGATCTTTCTAAGATGTGAATAGGACCCAGTTATTCTTCTGGTTACTGTCTTCACAAGTTCTAAGCTCTTTAATAGGAGGCCCTTTATGACTTCATCTGAAATCTGTTCATTTCACTTCTTTATGCAATTACAAGGGGTCTCAAGCTTTTTAGACTTTACCCATAGCTCTCTCCTTCTGGAAATTCTCTTTCACCTGCATCTGCCTGGAAAACATCCATGTATCTTTCAAAATATCTTTTCCTTTCCCCAAATCCCTCTGTTTGCTGTGCTTACTGTATTCACAGTCCAAAAATCTAAATATCTGCCTCCCAACTTGGTCATAAACTCCTCCACAGCATCTTAGTTATGATCATAACTTCAGGACCCAGCTGGCTCTGTGCTCCATACATGCTTGAATGACCCATTTGGAATTGATAAGTAGGCAGATTAATGAATGAAGTGACTTTGTGCCATCAGAGGACAAAGATTCTGAAGTCTCAGAGCTATGAATGACCTTGAACATCACCTAGTTATGTTTCTGCTCACAACGGCCTTCCAGGCAGCTGATGCGCTGACCCAAAGCATCTGTCTTGGACAGATGGAGCACACCCTCCCAAAGCTTAGGGACTCTTCCTTTGAGTAGACTCACTAGTTTTCTCTTTACTCCGCCTCCCTGTGGTTTGCCTTTATCCTCCTCCATGAGTCCTCCGAATATGTATGCTCCCCTCTGTACTGTAGACATCTGATGAAGGTCACTCATGCCACTTCCACTGTTCTTAAATCATCTTTGTAATGTCAAGTAGTGTATGCACACCCTGAAGGCAGCTCTCACTGACAACCCTAAACCTAACACAATAATTGTGATGGGTGAGTGGCGCTTCTCATGGGAAAGCACCCAAGCGCCTGCCCCAGCCTTGCAGGGCAAGGAAGGCCTTGTGGGTGGGGGTTGTGATGGTGCAGACAAATCAGGGGAAGGATGCTTAATAGAGGGCCCAGGAGGGAATGGTAATGACCCCATAATTGGCAGGCAGACTTTGATCACACATCTCTTTCCCTCTCTAGGGAGTTGTAATTGAATAGGGGATAATCTCCTCAAAGAAAAAAAATCCAAGGGGGTAAAAGTATGAAAAAAAAGACACATTTCTGTTTTCAAAATGAAGGAGCCAGTGGCATTATTTTTACATTAGTGGCTAGTTACAGTAGATTGACCAGGGAATGGTGGCAGTCATTAGGAGCTAATCACATTCTTTTGAAACCAAAATTGCCATCTCATTATATCCATCCATTATCAATCTTCACTTTCCTTTATTCATTCTCTCCCCATCAGAATATAGAGCTCTAGTTTTACATTTCTCTCTGAATGTGGATATGTTTTCTACTCTTTGCTGGTATTGCTTTTGTGAGGTGGTCACTTTTTTTGTTTGTTTGTTTTTTAGTTCAAAGATGTGCTTGGGAATGTCCTCACATTTGGAAAACTGAGCCATGGTATTCATAGAATCCTCAAAAGTCATATTTGAAAGAGTGTTTTCAGAACATTTTCCCTTATTTTATGTATCAACAAAGCATGATCTGGAGCCAGCAAATGACCTCCCAAGAAAATGTTCTGGTGTCTTCCCTCCTTCCTTCTCTGTTTTCTTTTCACAGAGACAATCTGACCAAGCACTGTACTAGATCCTAGAAATGATGACAGGAGGTATGACTGACACAGTCCTAGTTGTGGGAGGGGGTGGGACAGTACACAAAGGGATAATGATTGTATGTTTTGAGTGCTATCAAGGCAATGAAGGGTCTGGGTAGATAGTGACTGGGAAAGGGACTACTTAGATCAGGTGGCTCCGGTGAGATTCCTTGGAAGGATGACACGTGAGAGAAAGAGGCAGTCCTGGACACTGGGGAGCTGCCAGGCCCTCCCAGCTGCGCCTCAGTGCTCTCCTGCTGAGCACAAATGAGTCCACGGGATTAGGCAAGGCTGCTTCTACATGATAGAAGGAGACCAAAGCAAGACCATTCTGGAGTAATAGCTGAACAAAGAAAAAAATATAAGCACAGCAAGCCAAAAATCCTGACCAAACATACTCCCATCCTGGCTGATAGGACTATTGCTTCTTTGATAATCACAGTGTTAGCGTCTCCCTGGTGTTCTCCTGTAATAGTTAAGATTTATTAACATCCCCAATCACATCACTTCCTGTAGTTGCCAATCTAGAATAAAACTTCCCTTAAATTGTCTCTTGCTTCACCTAGCACAGCCCACCTTCTGTGAGTCCTTCCTATAACCCCCTCTTTGGATGCCCCATAGTCTTCCAAGAAGGTCATTCACCTCATGGCAACAAGGGATAAGCCCAGCTCACTTGATTCCAGGTGTGTCCCTGCTGTCATTGGCTGACACAGCTGAGCTGAAAACTA